GTGGCCAGGAGCGGCCACTGCACTCCAGTCTGGGTGACAGAGTGAGACTCCAGCAAAAAAAAGAAAAAAAAAAAAGGAAAGAGACCACTGGGGTTGATAAGAAATATTGGTCATCCTCTGCTTAACAGGTATAGAACTTGTATATTCAGATACACATCTGGGGAAAGCTGACTTATCAAAGGGAAATGCAGAGTATACATCCAGGCAAGGCACTTTTATACCCACAGGATGAGAAAAATATTTATGCACATTTCAGTTGATCCTCTTCAGGGATCATAAGCAAAGTCATGGGATAAGTACAGTTAGAACAATTTCATTTACAAAATCTTATGGTTTCACATTAAGGTATTTTTCCATAAGATCTATTTCTTTGGCTCCACCAGGAAAATCTCATTAGTAGAGAGGGACGAGAAGCAACACTGCTCTGCTTTGAATGAAGATGTGGACTGGTTGGAGGAAGCTGTTGGTGAAGGAACTTGAAGACAGAGCCAAGGAATTTGGGCTTTTAACATAGCAGGAGCCTTTCCTTTCCCATCTTCCCGCCACCCGGCTTTCCTTGCACTATGGTTTCCTGGGGTGTGACCACTGAGTAGACCAGCCCCTTCAGAAGAGCCCTGTGAAGATGGACTGGCTGGGGGGTTGTGCCGGGTGGAAATAACTCAGTAGTTCTTTCCTTGACATCATAACAGGGCTAGAGCATTTTGTGTTCTGTTAAACAGATATTTTTGAGTAGCAGTCTTTACTCATAGCACTTTGTTTTTTGGATTATTTTTTTCTTTTTTGAGTCAGAGTCTCACTCTATCACCCAAACTGGAGCGCAGTAGCATGCTCACAGCTACTGTAGCCTCAACCTGCTGAGCTCAGGTCCTTCCACCTCAGCCTTCCAAGTAACTGGGACTACAGGCATGCACCACCAAGCCCAGCTAATTTTTTTGATTTACTGTAGAGATGAAATCTTAGCAAGTTGCCCAGGTTGGTTTTAAACTCCTGGGCTCCGGCAATCCTCTCACCTCTGCCTCCCAAAGTGTTGGGATTATAGGCGTGAGCCACTGCACCCAGCCATAGCACTTTGAATAAGTCATTTAATCTCTCTTGAGTCTCAGCTTTCCTCTGTTAAAAAAAAAGGTGGGGGGGAGAATAATAGTACCTACCCATAGGTAATTATGGAGAATAAATGCAGCCCAATGACAGAACAGGTCAGTGCTTAAATAAATGTTTTATTTTTATTTTTTAGTCGGAATCTCTGCTCTGTCATCCAGGCTGGAGTGCAGTGGCACACTCACAAGCACCACAGCCTTGACCTGCTGGGCTTAGCCTTCCAAGTAGGTGGAACCACAGGCATGCACCACCACGCCCAGTTAATTTTTTTTTTATTTATTGTAGAGACAAGGTCTCAACATGTTGCTCAGGCTGGTCTCGAACCCCTGAACTCAGGCAATCCTCTCGCCTCCACCTCCCAAAGTGCTAGGATTGCAGGCTTGCGCCTCTGCACCCAGCTGCTTAAATAAATGTTAATTCATTGTTCATTATCTGGGGAGTGGGCCATCTGAGACCCAGTCCCCACCACTACACAATATGTCCATGTAACAAACAAATATTCACATGTACCCCTGAATCTAAAATAAAAATGGGAAGAAGATAAAAAATAATTGTTAAAAATATAAGTATAGCCGGGCTCGGTGGCTCAGCCTGTAATCCCGCGCCTTTGGGAGGCTGAGGTGAGTGAATTGCCTGAGCCCGTGGCTTCAAGACCCGCCTGGGCAGCAAGACCTCATCTCTACAATAAATCAAAAAATTAGCTGGGCATGGTAGCACGCACCTGTAATTCTGGCTACTTGGAAGGCTGAGGCGGAAGGATCGCCAGAGCCCAGCAGGTCGAGGTTGCGGTGGCTGGGAGCGGCCACTGCACTCCAGTCTGGGCGACAGAGTGAGACTCCAACTCAAAAAAAAAAAAAAATGTAAGTATATACTATGAGATTGCTGAAAGGCAGCAGTGTTCCATGTGTCTGAATATTTTAGAGCCTAAAAACCACCCAGAGAGTAGATTCAAGTAGAGATGCAAAAAAGTATTTGATAAGCATCTCTTATGTGCCAGATCCTTG